GTTTCGTCGTCGTCGTCGTGTTTCGTCGTCGTCGCATTTCGTCGTCGTCGCATTTCGTCATGCTCACGTGTCGTCGTTGTCGCCGTCCTCATGTGTTGGTGTCGTCGTCCTCATGTGCCGTGCATGGGTGGTTGCTGGCATCGTGCCTGTCGTGGTGAGAACGGAGGAATGGGGTGGTGGGGCATACGTACCCCTTGCCCATGACGTTGCCACGTCATGGGCGTTGTCCCTCGTCCTTGGTCCATCGTTCCGTGCTGGGGGTGTCGTTGTCGTTAGCGTGGGCGTCGTGTGCGTCGTTAGCATGGGCGTGGGCGTGGGCGTCGTGGGCGTCGTGGGCGGTGTTGAGATGTGAATGGTGGTGGTGGAAGGGAAAGGGATGGTCACGGCAGTGTGACCATCCCACAAACAGGCGACGTGACGATATGGCACGCCCTCAAGTAAGTCACGTGACCTCACCCCGCAGACTGAACAAAATCATAAATCCTTATTGCAGCTATCACTGACCCACACTATATGTAAATTATAACATTTCCATTCATTGATCAATTAGTCTATTTTCGCTTTTTTAGTAGTATTCATATATAATAATAATAATATGCTGGAATGACTGGAATCCACTGGAATCCACTGGACTCCACTGGACTCTGACTGGACTCATAGTCCACTGGACTGGGACTGGACTCAGGAAAGTGGCTGGCAGTCCAGTGGGAGTCCAGTGGACTGGACTGGACTGGACTGGACTGGACTCCAGTGGACTGGGCATTCTGCCAGCCAATCTGGCCTGGTAAGAGGGCCACTGGAATCCACTGGAATCCACTGGAGTCCACTGGAGTCCACTGGAGTCCATATGGATTACGTGGGGGAGGGTAAAGACCTCCCTGGTACTCGGAAATTCCTACTGGATTCCAAGTGGACTCCTACTGGACTCCTTGTACTGGACTCCACTATACCCATTCCTTGTGATTTGGGATCATTCCAGTAGGAATCTACTAGGACTCCAGTAGGACTGAGATGCAAAATTTGTATGGTGTTCAGGCAATATGAAATTGGCTGGAGTCCTAGTAGAATCCAGTAGGAGTCCGGGATTCCAGTAGGAGTCCAGTAGGAATAGGTGGGGGAGTGTAAAGAGCTCCAAATAGACCACAAAAAGTCAGACATGGACTACAAGTTTACTGATAGACTACAAAAGACTAGTTGGACTTGGACTACAAAGTTGACTAATAGACTACAAAAAGTTGGACATAGACTACAAAGTTTACTGATATCCTTGATTACTGTTATTGACAATCCACTTTTTTCGTTACAAAAATCTGTAGTGTCCGCTTTTTTGCACTACAAAAGTTTGCAGTGTCTGCTTTTTTCATTACAACAGTCTGTAATGTCCTCTTTTTGAGACTTCATTTTGCAGTGTCTGCTTTTTTGGACTACAAAATTTTGCAGTGTCCGCTTTTTTCATTACAAAAGTCTGTAGTGTTTGCTTTTAGGACTACAAAAGTTAGTAGTGTCTGCTTTTTAAGACTACAAAGTTTGTAGTGTCTGCTTTTTGCACTAGAAAAGTTTGTAGTCCACTTGTTTAGCTGATTGATTCTAGCTTTTTTGGAATACAAAAGTTTGTACTCTGCTTTTTCACTATAAAAGTCTGTAGTGTCCACTTTTTGAGCCTACAAAAGTTTGCAGTGTCTGCCTTTTCATTACAAAAGTTAGTAGTGTCTGTCAGCTTGTAGTGTCTGCTTTTTGACACTACAAAGGTTTATGGCCTCGTTTTCTGACATGTAGTTTGTATGTGTATATCTTCATGGGCATATGGTTGATTTGTGGTCTGGTTGACATGTAGTTTGAATGTCCTTGACTATGTATGTATATGTTCATGGGCATATGGTTGAAGGATTGAAAGGCTATTCTATCCTTTCATACTGTCCTATCTCCAAGCATAATCAACTTCTTTGAGGGCTACAGTACTCTATAGATCATGGTCTGATTGGTCCTCAGAAGTGTCATTACATTCAATCCCAATGTTAGGTTATGATGCAAAAGGTCACCTAAGTCAAGTTGTCTTTTTCCTGAATCCTAAATGACAATTGACAAAGAGACATGACCCTACTGCCCTTTATCATTCATTCACTATTGGTAGTAGCCTAGAATCAATCAGCTAAACAAGTGGACTACAAACTTTTCTAGTGCAAAAGGAGACACTACAAACTTTGCAGTCTTAAAAAGCAGACACTACTAACTTTTGTAGTCTAAAAAAGCAAACACTACAGACTTCTGTAATGAAAAAAGTGGATTGTCAATAACAGTAATTAAGGGTATCAGTAACTAACTTTTTGTAGTCTATTAATAAACTTTGTAGTCCAAGTCCAACTTCTGTAGTCTTTTGTAGTCTATCAGTAAACTTGTAGTCCATGTCTGACTCTTTGTGGTCTTTGTAGTCACCTTAAACAAGGGACGATCAGGCAATTAAGTGAAGCCCTTGACAGATTCTGTGACAAAGTAATCATTTTTGCATCAGTTATGTAATTACAACAAACCAATGGGAATTTTTTCATTCTGACCATATGTCTGCCAATTGTCCAAGGGGGGCTGACAGGAAAAAAACAATTAATGTGCTTATTGTTTGAATTTGCCCACAACTGTGTTACCTAGGTGAAGCTTTGCAAAAAAATAAAAGTTTTTCCTATTGCCAAAGAGACAGACTGAAGTGTTCCTGAAATTTGTTATGTTTACTAATTTGAATCCTTCCCAGCCTTTTGTCCTGTGGATGTACCTCAAGACACATTTTAAAAGTAATTACAACATTTTCTTTACATCTGGACGTCACCTTTGCATGATAGGCAAACATGCCATCAATATAAAAAATCTCCCATAAGTCTGTGTTAATTACATAAGAGGTGCAAAAATGATTAGTTTGTCATGCAATCTGTCAAAGGCTTTGCTTAGCTACCTGATCATCCCTTGTTTAAGGTAAGTCTACTAGTACACTTTGTAGTCCATAACTGACTTTTGTAGTCTACCTGCAATCTTTTGTAATATGTCAGTGTGAATTTACCTGTTAGGGTATGCACCTTCCATTTTTGGTCATTTTTCCCACGATACAAGAATTGTAGCCCTTTCTCTTAGCTTTCTAAATGTGTTGAAATCATTTTGTTTGGTGTTGTTCTCATGGAGAAAAATGCAAAAAGGTTGAAAAAAGCCGGTGATGAGGAAAAGACTTTATGTTATATCTCCACAATGGGAGCACTTTAGGACATAATTCCAACAGATTCAGGAAGCTACAGTGCAGGGCTACAATTTTCGCTTTTTGACCATTTTTGGAAATAGGTCATGTGACCACCCTCCTGATGACCAAAAACCACAATGATATAGCCGAAGCAGCTAATGAAATTTCCAAAGATATTGCTCAAGTAGCTAATGAAAATCGCAATGATATTGCCAAGGTGGCAAATGAAATTTCCAAAGAAATTGCCCAAGTAGCCAATGAAAATCGCAATAATATTGCCCAACTAGGCTAATGAAAATCGTAATGATATTGCCCAGGTGCCTAATGAAAATTTCAATGATATTGCCCAAGTAGCTAATGAAAATCACAATGATATTGCCCAGGTGCCTAATGAAAATCGTAATGATATTGCCCAGGTGCCTAATGAAAATTTCAATGATATTGCCCAAGTAGCTAATGAAAATCACAATGATATTGCCCAGGTGCCTAATGAAATTCCCAATGATATTGCCCAAGGTGGCTAATGAAATTTCCAATGATAATTCCCAAATAGCTAATGAAAATCGCAATGATATTGCCCAGATAGCTAATGAAAATAGCAATGATATTGCCAAGGTGCCTAATGAAATTTCCAATGATACTGCCCAAGAGGCTAATGAAATTTCCAATGATAATTCCCAAATAGCTAATGAAAATAGCAATGATATTGCCAAGGTGCCTAATGAAATTTCCAATGATACTGCCCAAGAGGCTAATGAAATTTCCAATGATAATTCCCAAATAGCTAATGAAAATCACAATGATATTGCCAATGCCTAATGAAATTTCCAATGATATCGCCCAAGAGGCTAATGAAATTTCCAATGATAATTCCCAAATAGCTAATGAAAATCGCAATGATATTGCCCAGGTGCCTAATGAAATTCCCAATGATATTGCCCAAGAGGCTAATGAAAATCACAATGATATTGCCAAGGTGGCTAATGAAATTTCCAATGATAATTCCCAAATAGTTAATGAAAATCGCAATGATATCAGTCAAGTAGCTAATGAAATTTCCAATGATATTGCCCAACTAAGCTAATGAAAATTGCAATGATATTGCCAAGGTGCCTAATGAAATTCCCAATGATATTGCCCAAGTGGCTAATGAAATTTCCAAATAGCTAATGAAAATCACAATGATATCGGTCAAGTAGTTAATGAAATTTCCAATGATATTGCCCAATGGCTAATGAAAATCGCAATGATATTGACCAGGTACATAATGAGATGGAGGTCTAAGGCCTTGCCTACAATTAATGAAAAAAAGCGCAGGCTTTATGATAATGAAAAGACATGGCAACTGGAATGATTCCCTATCATAAAGACTGTGGATTTATACACAATGACCTCTAGGCAGTTACCTTATTTATATGATAAAAGTGGTAGCCAGTAGTGGTCCATTGACGTGTCGTCCTTGTCATCGTCCGTCGTCATGCATTGACGTGTGTGTCATCGTGCATTGACGTGATGTGTTGTCATTGTCGTCCGTCATTGTCGTCTTCCATCGTCATCGTCCGTTGACGTGTCGTCCTCATCGTCGTGCGTCGTCGTGCGTTGACGTGTAGCCGCCCTCGTCGTCGCTGACGTGTCGTCTGTTGTCGTCGTGCGTTGACGTGACGTGTTGTTGTCATCGTCCGTTGATGTCGTCCGTTGATGTGTTGTTGTTGTTGTCCGTTGTTGTTGTCCATTGATGTGTCGTCGTCCTCATCGTCCGTTGATGTGTGGCCGTCCTCGTCGTCGTCCGTCGTCGTCGTCGTGTCGTCGTCCATCGTCATCGTCATCATCATTGTCTGTTGGCGTGGGCGTGATTGGAGGTGACCGCGCTGGTCGCGGTGACGGTGGTTGTGGTTGTGGTTGACAGCAAAATGGAGATGCTGATGGTGACGCCGGCAAATGCCGTGACTCGTTTAGGAAGGTGGGCGTGAGGATGGGTTATATAGAATTAATGTTGCCAGGCTTTTAACAGCCATATGGTGTAGTGGAAATATTGCTGCTCAGAGATTCACATCATATTTCCCGAGGCCAGAGTTCAATCCTCATGCATCCACTTATTTTTTTATATATTATAATAACAACAACAAATATTGGAATTCATTGGAATGTCTCGGAATCTGTTGGAATTTGACTGGAATATATTAAATGTACTTTCCATGGGAATTCCATGGAATCTGGTTGGAATTCCAATGGATTCCAATGGAAACTGTTCCGGGAGGCTCCCGGATTCCAACCATTTCCACTGGATTCCATTGGAATTTCCATGGAATTGGAAACCAGAATGGCTGAGGCTCCAGCCAACTGGTTTCCGTCGGAATTCCATGGAATTCCGACATTCCACTTGGAATCCGCCGGATTCCGCTGGAACTCATGGGGGATGGTAAAGACCTCCTTCCTCCCACCAGACAAACAATACCTAGTAATGTGTGGCATCCCCTGCCTCTGGCGCACCAACTCCCTAGCCTACACAGACACAGACGAGGATGCCAAGTGCCTCCTCTCCTTTGCTGATTCCTCTTCCCCCTCCACAGACGGCGACGAGTGGGTCGAGACGCATGCAGGGTGTCAAGTGCATCGAACGGACTCTGCGATGAATGCAGGTGAGATTGCAGATATCCCTGATTTGGATGGGGATGGGCTGCATGAGGATGAGGAGAGGATTGTGAGGGGCTTGGGGGGTGTGTCATTGCTTGGGGGGTGTGTCATTGGGCGGGGGAGGGGGTGAGGGTGTTGGGCCAGAGACGCCTGATTTGGATGATATCCCTGATATGGAGGAGGATGATTTGGAGGAGGGGGATGATGAGGCTGCGGCTGCTGTGCCTAAAGCCTCAGTTATACCTGCTGCTGCCGGGGTTGATGCTAGGTATGTTTGTTGGGTTTTCTAAAAAAGTTGAAGAAGTGCTAACGATTTCTTTGTAGCGCTAATGTGGAAGTCACAAAGGGCAACCTGCTTCAAGTTCGCACTTACGATGTCATGATCACATATGACAAGTATTACCAAACCCCATGAGTTTGGCTGATCAGCTACGATGAGGTTCGCCTTTTGCCCATTTTTTTAAATACACTCACTAACAGAAACAAGAGAACCGCACCCCACTAACCCCCTCCCAAATCTTCCAAGACATCTCAGCAGACCACACCCAGAAAACAGTAACAATCGAACCCTTCATCCACTCCGCCTCTCTCCAAGCCGCCTCTGTGCATCCATGCAAACACGCCAGCATCATGAAGAAAGTGATAGAACAGATGAACAACAGTGTTGTTGAGGAACAGCTTGCGCAGCGCAGTAAACCAACAGGCAAGGACACCCCTAAGAAAGAGAAGAAGTGGCCGTTCAGCTGAAAGTCATCTGGGAGTGCCAAGGATGTTCAACAGCTGCAAGCTGGGGCTGAGGGAGGAGGTTGAGGGGATGAGGGTTGATTTTTATTTGGTTGTCTTCCTCAAGTTTATTGTGAGCATTGTGCCAACTATTGAGGTCGACTTGACTATGTCTTTTTGAGTTTGATGCCACTTTCCCCTTGTCTTTTGACTTTATCTGGTACCCCTAGTCCTCTCTCATTGCTAAGCCATTGTTTTCTCTACCTGTATTTTTTCTACCATTGTTGGTACTTAGAGCTCCTCTTTCTTTGTGAATACGTTGCAATTTGGAATATGTATCTGTATCTTTCGTGTTTTCTGACAGAGTTCAGAGAATGCATAAATCATATGCATTGAGATGTACCTCTCTACCCATGACTCTCTAACAATTCTTTGAACTTCCATACACATTCACTGTACATGTGAAGACAACTCTGCGCCACCTGTGGAAGCTTGAAAACAAGAAAAGCTGGTGGACTTTACCATTCTGGACTTTGTCTTGTTTAAATGACACAATCTGTGTTTTGGAGAACAGTAAGGCAAAATGTGCATCATAATGGTGGTACTAGAGACATGTGCTGCATTTATGAAATTTTGGAAAGATCAGTCAAAACTCTTATAAAGCTGAAATCAATTAAATGAGAGAAAAACTTTGGAAGACTTGCAAGATTGAAAACTCACGAAGACGATTGTCCAGAGCAATCTTTACAAGTGCATGTTTTTGATTCTTGGTTCTAAAATGATGGGAGGCCTCCTCAATGGCAGTTTTAATTTTTGCCAAGTTGGCAGACAAGTTGAACTTTTGAATGGCTAATTCAAAGGGGCCCCAAGAGTTTGAAGGCTTCTGTTTCCACAGAAAGAAAGAGTGCTCTGCAATGATAGCTGTCACTGAGCAGTAAAATAGTAGTTGTGATAGAGTGGGCATAAAGGAGAGTATACACACCAATACATAGAAAGGCAATGTCGTTGAAGGATTTGGTATTGTGAATCTGCATAGAATTATGTTGTAGTCAGGATATTGAATAGAAATTACACAGTGAAGGTTTACCAAGGACCAGTCTGTATGATCAAGGACATCCTTCACCTGGAAATAGTAATTGGTCCAGTCGATACTAGTTTTGAAAAAAAGATGGAAAGTAGGAATAAAATTCTCACACCCTAGTTTAAGAAGTAGAGTTTCATAAATGTTTTTCTAAAATTCTACAACTGGACTCACAATCTCATCATTCTTAGCAAAATGAAAAGAGAAGAAGGCTGAAACTTACCTTCTATTTAAAACACAGGCCATGCTCTTGTCAGCAACAAGCAGGAAGGGCCAGCCAGATCCTGACTTACATCCTATTCAACACCCAGTACATGCTTTTGTCAGCAACAAGCAGGAAGGGCCAGCCAGATCCTGACTTACCACCTGTTCAAAACCCAGAGCATGCTTTTGTCAGCAATAAGCAGGAAGGGCCAGCCAGATCCTGACTTACTTTCTGTTCAAAACCCAGAGCATGCTCTTGTCAGCAACAAGCAGGAAAGGCCAGCCAGATTTTGACTTACATGCTGTTCAATACCCAGAGCATGCTCTTGTCAGCAAGAAGCAGGAAGGGCCAGCCAGCCAAATCCTGACTTACATGCTGTTCAAAACCCAGAGCATGCTCTTGTCAGCAATAAGCAGGAAGGGCTAGTCAGATCCTGACTTACATACTGTTCAAAACCCAGAGCATGCTTTTCTCAGCAATAAACAGGAACGGCCAGCCATATCCTGACTTACATACTGTTGAAAACCCAGAGCATGCTCCTGTCAGCAACAAGCAGGAATGGCCAGCCAGATCCTGACTTACATCCTGTTCGAAACCCAGAGCATGCTCTTGTCAGCAACAAGCATGAAGGGCCAGCCAGATCCTGACTTACATCCTGTTCAAAACCCAGAGCATGCTCTTGTCAGCAACAAGCACAAAGGGCCAGCAGATCCTGACTTACATACTGTTGAAAACCCAGAGCATGCTCCAGTCAGCAACAAGCAGAAAGGGCCAGATCCTGACTTACATACTGTTGAAAACCCAGTGCATGCTCTTGTCAGCAACAAGCAGGAGTGGCCAGCCAGATCCTGACTTACATACTGTTGAAAACCCAGTGCATGCTCTTGTCAGCAACAAGCAGGAGTGGCCAGCCAGATCCTGACTTACATCCTGTTCAAAACCAAGAGCATGCTCTTGTCAGCAACAAGCAGAAACAGCCAGCCAGATCCTGACTTACATCCTGTTCAAAACCAAGAGCATGCTCTTGTCAGCAACAAGCAGGAACAGCCAGCCAGATCCTGACTTACATCCTGTTTAAAACCCAGAGCATGCTTTGTCAGCAACAAGCAGGAATGGCCAGCCAGATCCTGACTTACATCCTGTTCAAAACCCAGAGCATGCTCTTGTCAGCAACAAGCAGGAAGGGCCAGCCAGATCCTGATTTACATCCTGTTGAAAACCCAGAGCATGCTCTTATCAGCAGCAAGCAGGAAGGGCCAGCCAGATGCTGACTTACAGCCTGTTCAAAACCCAAGGCATGGTTCAGTCAGCAACAAGCAGGAAGGGCCAGCCAGATGCTGACTTACAGACTGTTCAAACCCCAGAGCATGTTCTTGTCAGCAACAAGCAGGAAGGGCCAGCCAGATTCTGACTGACTTGCTGTTCAAAACCCAGAGCATGCTCTTGTCAGAAACAAGGAGGAAGGGCCAGCCAGATCCTGACTCACCCACTGTTCAAAACCCAAGGAATGCTCTTATCAGCAACAAGCAGGAAGGGCCTGCCAGATCCTGACTTACATTCTGTTCAAAGCCCAGAGCATGCTCTTGTCAGCAGCAAGCAGGAAGGGCCAGCCAGATCCCAACTTACATCCTGTTCAAAACCCAAGGAATGCTCTTATCAGCAACAAGCAGGAAGGGCCAGCCAGATCCTGACTTACATCCTGTTCAACACCTGAAGCATGCTCTTGTCAGCAACAAGCAGGAAGGGCCAGCCAGATCCCAACTTACAATCTGTTCAAACCCCAGAGCATGTTCTTGTCAGCAACAAGCAGGAAGGGCCAGCCAGATTCTGACTGACTTGCTGTTCAAAACCCAGAGCATGCTCTTGTCAGAAACAAGGAGGAAGGGCCAGCCAGATCCTGACTCACCCACTGTTCAAAACCCAAGGAATGCTCTTATCAGCAACAAGCAGGAAGGGCCTGCCAGATCCTGACTTACATTCTGTTCAAAGCCCAGAGCATGCTCTTGTCAGCAGCAAGCAGGGAGGGCCAGGGAGATCCAGACTCACCCACTGTTCATAACCCAAGGCATGATCTTGTCAGCAACAAGCAGGAAGGGCCAACCAGATCCTGACTCACCCACTGTTATAACAAAAGCATGATCCCATTAGCATCTACTTGAGGCCCACTGGATGTTGGCTTACCGCCTGTTCATATATATTATTTTGTTCTACCACTGTACAGTCAAGTAAGGTCCACATACCATATGTGGAAAATAATTCAGTATCTTCTCAACCATCTTCCTCCACTCTCTCTTTTCTTTGAATAACTTCCAATCTGGAAAGACAACTCTGTTATTCTAGGTAATCAGGAATTTAGCAGCATATAATTCAAAGTGAAGCCACTACCTTATAATTGCATATTCAATTGACAGAGCCACACTATTTTGCTGTACTGTAAGAAAGAGCTGTAAAAGTGTATCATCTGAAAAGGTGGCTGCTGTCTTCCTCAGCAGTTCACTGCAGTCACTTGTAGGATTTTGCATGTCTGTTAAATGCAATTAATCCATTGTCTATGAGTTAATGAGTTTGTTATACCTCAAAAATACACATGATCCCTGGGAGGATACTTTCTCTTGAAGAGTTGCTGGCCAAATTTCTCTTCAAACCTGGCAACTGACTCTTCTGGAGCTTTATTTGCAGCATCTTCAACATCCATTCCAGTATCAACCAGGTGTTTGATGGTTTGGGCATCAAGCATGTCTGCTTTTGTAAACAGGACAATAACAGGAACTGTGCACAAAAAGGAAAGGTGAAATTTAATAGATTAGCAATAATTAACACACCTCTACCAGTCCCACACTCATCAAAGAAAGTTAACTCTGCTCTTGTAAATGGTCTGGCTTCATCATTAATTGGGATGCAGTACCTACACAGGGTGTATTCAGATGCACTTAAATGTTACAACTCAGTCACTCACCAAATCACATGCAGATGGTCCTTGAGCAGTCTGTTGGTTGAACGTTTTTGCAGAAACTCCTTGACTTCATCCAGCTCAGATGTTCTGCCTGCTTCAAACCCACGTGAGTCATGAAAGACAAATGCTGTATTGCTTTCAAATATCATTTCATTCTCAATATCATGCTCCCCTCTCTGCGACACTTTCAGTAAAATGTAATAGGGAGTGTAGATCCACATTACCTATGCAGTTGGATTGAGCTTGGACAAGTCAATCTATCCAGGTCAATAATGATAGATGATGATGTTTAGAACATGTAATACCTTATGACCCTTCTGATTGAAAATTTTCGGCTGTTCCGTTGTATTGCAAACTCGCTGGAGTATCGTTGTCTTCCCCGCATTGGCACGGCCAATGATGAGGACGCGAAAACGCCCGGTGAGTTCTCGAACTCTGCGTGGTCGTCTCTCTTGTCTTTCTATATCCTCCGCGGCTTGGGATTCAACATTGGAAAGAGACATTTGTCGCTGGGATGCCTGAGATGGTGGAAGTGGTGAAGAATCAAGACAAGCGCCACGGGCAGTGTGTTGTTTGGTTATGCTGGGTCAGCCACTCGAGTGATGTCACTGACTCGCTTCTCCCAACTTTTTGTTCTTCCGTTCGTACAACTTCATTCCCTTGACTCAATTTCCAATACACGTCATTGGCTCCCCAACTGAGCCTTTCAATCTGCCCACGACGATCGTGAAAGCGCGCAAGTTTGTTGCCAGACCTGGGCCTGAACATCAACCAAACGGCAAGGCACAAACTCCAGGTTAACTTTACCTGAAGTTTTGTTACAGTCCAGGTGAATGCCCCTTCGAGTCGCCATTCGAGCTCCAGCAGTGGCATGAGTTCGCCACTTAGCGCAGACAAGTCTCCTCAGCAGCGGGCTTCTTTCCACGACGTCATTTTCCCTCGTTGACCACGCAGAGGACTCGAACTACGGTAACTGAAAGACTAGATGGTTGAAGAAGTGGCTGTAACATGGGCGGTACGAAATTAAAGCCTACTTAGTACGATTACCAGCTACAATTCTATCGTGATGTGCCATCCCATTTTGCCGATGAAGTCCCTGTCTCAGCCAAGAATCGCCACAGCCATTCTTTCGCTCTTCACGCCTCTTCCCTTCTCACACCCCCTACTCATTCGTCCGTGAATCGCGATGTCCGTGTACGTTTCCACATTCACTCGTTGCTTGAAGACGTACCTTCGACCTTGAGTATGCTCCCCACCATCAGGGGACAAGCCTACATCAAAGCCTGTAAGAACGTGTACCCGCATCGAATGACACAACTCACGTCGTCTGTACCGAAGTTCGCCCTTTTCTTCATTGTCGTCATGGCTAGCCAGCCGTTCTACCATCCAACAGCAAGCTAGCCACAGAGAGATATCAGAACTACAATCCCAAGAAGTGAATATTTACTTGCCTTTCCTCTCCAGTTCCGCTTAGATGGATGGGGTTGCTACCACCTGGGCCAGCAAGTCCTCAACCAGACTTTGTTAGTGTACGGTTAACGGCTTTGCCCTGCATTCAGTGTACCCACAGCCAAAGAGCATTTGCACCGCTGAAGAGCGACGGTGAGCATCAGATGACGCTTTGCTTCATAACCCAACTTCCACACGTTCGAAGCACCGCACTGGGAATACCCCTGCGATCCAAACTCGAACGGACGTCATTTCGGACAGAGCTGGCGACTGCTATTCCTGGGTTTTAAGGAGTCGAGGTGGCGCTGCTCGTCAAAACGCTGAAAGCCAATCGAGTCGTCTTTTCCCTGTGTTCTAGAATAAGAATCAGCAATTACGTGAGTTACAACAGAGATAATCGCAAACGAGAAAGACTGCCATTCACAATGACCTTGCAATTTGGGTTCGAGCGGAAAAGGCTGCACGTGATTACACATGACCTTCCTGTCAGTCAGAGTGGCAGCGATTGTAGGGCCGATCTGCGCAGGAAGGATTCAGGGAAAGGTAGCACAGGCATAGACAAAGTACCACTTGCGATTTCGACTCTTCAATCCAATTCAAGTCCTACATGCATAGGTTTTGTGGTTCCAGTTTGCCGACGTCATGGCTGATGTAGTGGTCGTGTAGGTATCCAGATGTCCTTCCAACCAGTCAAACAAGGGTTTGTAGCTGGTGGGGTGGTTGCATCAGAATCGACCTTCCATTCTGTCGTTTCCCGTTGCCCTAATAGAAAAGCCAAGATAAGTGGAGGTACATAGTTCGTACATCACACTCAACCCACCTAACCGCACAGACCAGCTTCTTCTGTTCCGCGCTAAGCAGCACCGCACGTCTACGTCTGGGCACTGGATTTGAAGCTGACGGTGAGAAGCCCTCGGATAAAATTGGGTCGATCTTGAACAGTGAGGAGCGCTTTCCAGCCTGAAAGATAACTGATTGATAGATCAGATATGAAGACCTCCCGTCGATGAGAGCTTACCATCTCAGCACGTTGAACTGTCCCGACCATTGGGTGTCGTGACCGTCATCGTAATCTAGAGTCTGTTGTTCTGGTAAGTCAAGTACGCAGACAAGTGAGAACAGATATAACACGCCCACCTAGACTTGAAATGTCGATGTCCTGCTTGTAATCTATGACAGTGGGGAGGTGCACGAGTTTGCCCCCTCTTATTGGACACGTCAATTTGGTGAAATACTTCAAAAGGGCGTGGTCCTGACATACGACGAACCCGCAATCTGAGCCGATCATGGGCATCGAGTTGTACAACCCTTCTGCGGTCAAGATTTGTCGCGACTGATTATCATCAGGGAGTGTGCGAGAGTTCAAGTGGGGGACGATTCTCTTTATATCTAGAATGATCAGCTTCGTACGAGGTAAAAAGCTCGAGAAGAACTCACAAGCAGTGCGTACAGAGTGAAGGTACTAGTTTGGATGAGCGCCAGGCTGGTGGCAGTGCCTAACACGTAACAAGTTACAGCCACGGCTTATGGGAAGGGAAAGCCTACTTCATTCGCGTATACTATCGATTCCACACTGGGCAAAAACCTACTAATCCCAATGTGTCTTGGAATACAGGAAAGAGTGCTCGGTTTTGAACCCCAGTGGGCCCCCACAAACATTGTCACTCTGGAGAAGATGACACCGAAGAGTGCATTGCCGGCGGCCTCGATGACGCACAACTTCATTTTTCGATTCATAATTGAATCAATAAAGTTTCCGTAAAGCCGTAAAACCTTACAGGACACCACTTTCACACTTGCCATTTGAACCGAAGGCCAACTTTCGTGAGGGAAGGATATGACCCGCTCAGTGGTCAAGAAGTCAGATGGTGGTGAACGCCACGATGTCCTTAACGGCAAGAACAGTCAGCTTGAGAAAAGGCGGGAAGCGCAAGAAACAACTCACCGTGAAGGGCCACAAGATCGAAATCTCCGCACACTTGAGGCCACCCCACTCTGCACCGACGTCGCGGTCTACAAATCCGCAGGCTCATAAAGGTCCTTGATCTCTCGAAACCCATACCAAAAATCTCTCGGCAGAAATACTCGTTGCTGATCGACATCTTCATGAAAGTCATGGAGGCCCATGGAGTTTGAGACAAGGAGCTGGGTCCCCCTTATTGAAGCTAAGAAGACACGAAAGAGCCCTTCGCCGACGAGGCCTGGGATGTAGTGGCAGTACAGGTCGTATTCAGAGATGGTGGAGGGGTAGATGGAGCCGATGGTGGCTGCTTTGTGGGCATAGTCGGCCATGGGCCCATGCTGGTTTCCATATTTCAGAATCCAAAGTTGAACTCGACGAAGTGGGGATCGAAGACGAACTCGACAGCGCCAAGGACAACGTTGCAGGGTCTGAAGTGTGAATTTCACGGTAGCAGAAGTGAATGGCGCCCTCGGAGAGGAAGTCGACGTCGAAGGGTCCAAAAAAGGAACAACACCCATACTATGCACGATACACTCCTGCAACGGTTTAACGGACGAACATCGTTCGCATACGCCGTCCGAAATTGGGCTCAAGAAGCACAATGAAACGGCGATACCCACTTGCGAGTGATTATATGCGTATTGCGTAGAGTAGAGGTTGAGTCCCCAAGTCCAACCTATTTGGATCTCAACTTCCTTTCACGTCAATCAGGTCCACGGAAACCTCCTCACTGGAAACCTGAAATCAAGCACAACACCCTCAAGCACGCGCTGCGTCCACCTAGCATCAAACATGTCGATTCTAACAGTGGAGGAAGGACTTTGCGTGCCGATCACGCGGAGATGACGAGGCAGAGTTCAAGTTTATGTTGTCCAAGGCGTACAGGGAAGTTTGGATGAGGGTCCGGATGAAGGGTTGATAGAGGTGACGTGGGAGAGAGGCAGTTGAGGTGGAAGACGAGGGATTCGAAGTGGAATGGGGGATTTAGGCGGGAGGAAAACTTTGGAGGATTGGAAGGGTCGGGGGGAGCGTCATCTCCCTCTGCCATGTTTGTTCGTACTGGCGCACTCTTGTATTCTCCATTTCCAGCCTCTGGTCGTCACTCTGCGTGATTTGGACCAAGATGGGCTACGTCCTCGTGCGGCTTTGGGCGGAAAAATCGAGGTCGCGTTCCTCCTCTACACCAGCATCACTCCGTGCAGACAACTTCCTCGAACAGCTACATGGTGTCGAAGCCGAGGCGGTTGAATCCTCACTGAATTCTCGAAGAGGGTGCTTCGATTTGATTCCCATATTATGACTGCACTATGTCGGCCATGTAAACTCGGATGGCGGAATTGGGATCTGGAGGGGCAAAGGAGTGCGAAGGAGGGTCGAAATCATACAATTATGGTAGGTTTATGTGGGGGGTTTCGCATAGTGCTTCAACGAGTTCTGGTTTACACCGACGTATTGGTTGTGTACGAACAGTTGTGTGTTTCCAGAGTGGTGGCCTGTGAATAGGCCTTGAGCAGGACTTGATCATCTCGCACTTCTGTGGGTAGCAATTTGACATTGTAAGAAGTCACAGAATTTTCTGTTTGTGGTGCAACTCAAGGCCTTTTTGGACGAGGAGGACTTGAGGAGGACGAGTGGCGTATTGATGTTCAACGTTCAACGTTCAAGTTTGCCTTGTTGATTGAGTTGTTTAGAACGTTCCGCGATGAGCGAGCACGAGGAACAAGTGACAAAGCTCATTATCGGATAAGATAACGTTAGAGCGTCAGAACGAAATCTCGCGTTTGTACTCATAAGTACAAACAATCATACATGTCTCCGAAGGTCTGAGAAGGAGAACTGCATTCTCCTTCCTGCCCAGTTTAATCGTTCTGACGCGTAAAAAGGTCTTCTTATTCATCAGCTAATTTTTTGAACTTTGGCAACTTCTTTCGGACCTTTACAATGGTCGACATCCCTCTCACCGTGACTGAAAGCTCTCAAACTGAGGCTACACCTAGCTCTCAAACTGCGGCTACACCTGTCTCTGATACTCCCGCCGCTACTTCTCGCATCCCTCGCACTCACACATCACCGGCCATCGTTCAAATGCTTAGAAACTTGCCGTTGATTTCTATCCTTCAGATGAACAAAGAAATTGAAGACCAAAATGCTGAAAGATCTCGAAAATCTTTCAATCACACGTTGGATCCTGCCGCTCACGGAGAGCCCGGCTCTGAAGAGGCCTCTCTCATTACTCTGGATGAAGTTGATCTTAACCGCTTCCGTGTTCCTTCTTTTGTGGCTTCTTTTCCTGGTATGATCTACTCCAAACTAGCCAAATGGATTGCGGATGAAGAGATAAAGGAGAAATTAAAAATGAAACGGAAACCTGCTGATGAACAGAAACTTTCTGCAGAGGACGCTAGGATTGCAAAGCGGCGTTGCATGAACGGACGGAAGATGGTTCCTTGGGTTGTGGGAGTTCCATGGCAGGCTACGTTCCCACAGAACCTCTTCGACACCGAACTCTGCATCGCAGTTCCCCTTCCTTTCTTCCTCAATAAAAACTTGAACATCTTAAATGTCGAGGCGTCTACTCTAGCAACGACAAAGACTAATCCAAATCCTGGCGAGACGAAAGGTAACGTCATCTTGGACATTGAAAAACTCTCATTGCGTTTCGGCAAGGAACTATCTTTGTCTTGTAGCCAGTGGACCGAAGCTGCAGGGAATATGTACCTTTTCCAGAAAGAGCGGGACGAAGAAGGCACATGCGAGGCACACAGTACTTGGTATAATGATCATTTTTGTTTTTATACTTCTCAGGACACCAAGGATGAGCTCTATGACGCATGGAAAGCCGATGAATTAAAATTCCGTCAAGAACACTGGGCGAAGTACGGAGAATTCGACGCAGCCCGCTACTATCAAGCTTACAAACTATCCGAGAAGCAGCAAGAAATGATGGCTGACATCCGTGGAATGATGTCGTCGTCTGCACCCGTGAAATCTTCTTTCAGCAGCGCTGTCAACAAACTTACTCCGAAACTCAACCCTCGCTCTTCCCAACCACGCCTCTCCCAGCCCTTTCAATCAGGCAGCGGTCGATCCTCCTCCTCAACGCCCGACTGCCTCATCTGTGCTGAGCGAGGTCACGACGCAACCCAACACGCAGAGAGCACCGCGCCCATCAAATTCAAAAGTGACGGCAAGTTGGTCTGGGCAAAGTACCAAGACCGCAATCTGCTCAGCCCCGACAACCGCATCATATGTATCAGCTGGAATCTCAGAGGCGACCGTGGCCATCCCTGTTCCCACAAAGACGAGCGCGTTCATGTCTGCTCTTTCTGCGGGAGCAAGAATCACAACGCCTTCTCGTGGATCTGCCGCTTGCGACCCTCAAACTGACGCGTTTGTCCAAGCGTCACTCTCACTCCCTCTCTCATATTCAGATTTTTCTTCCTCAATCATTCCTCGTCCCCCTTTATCTGACACCTCTCCTGAAGAATCTCTCCTATTCGACAGGATTTTGCACCCTTACAATGCCGACGCGTTCGAATATCTATTGCGCAAGCACCACCTCCTCGACAACTATCCCCTTCTCCCACGTAACTTGCGTGTCGGCTTCCCTATCGGTCACATGCCGCCGCTTTCCGAGACCGTCATCATGCCTAACAATCCTTCCACCTCATCCTATCCCGACACTGTCTCTGACTGGTTGAGCAAAGAACGTTCCGCTGGCAGATTATCAGGCCCTTTCTCTCGGGAGGTCACTGAGAAACTCTTACGCGGTCCCTTTCAATCTTCCTCTCTTATCGTCTCTGTTCAACCTCAAAACCCAGGAGTACCGGACAAGCTGCGAGTCTGCCAACATCTTTCCAAAACAACAAAATTCCACGCGTCTGTCAATTCGCACATCCACAAGGACGACTTTCCTACACGTTTTGACACCGCATCAAAAGTCGCTGATATCGTGAGTCACCGCCCTCTCCATCTCTTTCCCACCCTTTCTTTCTCTTTATTACACATCTCTTTTGCGTTTCGTGCGTAGAGATGTTTTCCTTTTTCTTAGCCCTGGTCTTGCACCCAGTGGCTCTTTGGGTATTTTTGCTTCATGCAAGTTATCTGGCATGTTGTCCTTATATTATCATCTATCATCTTTTCTGTTCCGTGCTATCAGCATGATGATTCATCTCCCATGCGTCGAGCATGATGATTCATCTCCCATGCGTCGAGCATGATGATTATCTTCCGTGTGTTATGCACGATGATTATCTTCCATGCGCCGAGCATGATGATTTCATGCACGATAATTCATGTCGTAGTTTATGCTTGTTACCTATATAATTTCATGCTCATTCTCTCTACATATCATCCTCTCGGCATATTTTGCTTACATCCTTGCTCATGTAGATCTCTCATGCCCCTCCTGGTACACAGGCATGTACTCTCGACATCAAAAAATTCCACCGTACATGTCCTGTTCTCCCCTCCCATAAGCCTTGGCTTGTCGTCCAAGGGACCTCGGATGACTTCTTTATTAATCACGCGCACCCGTTTGGGGCCGCCTGCGCTAGCAGTAACGCCGGCATGATTGCCAACGCAGTTGTTGACATTTGGAGAGCCGAAGGAGTCTTTCCAGTACCGAAGTATGAAGATGATCTGAAGGCTTTCCGATTCCCTTCGGAATCCGGTCCCTTCGTTGACGGCACTTTCCGCTATGATTACGGGTATTCCCTGGCATGATGAAAAGGGTGATGAACGTTTCTCGTTCGTGACGACTTTCATCGGGTTTCTCTGGGATATTCCCCAGAAGCTTGTTAGCTTACCGGATGGGAAGAGAAACAAGTTCCACCAGCGCGTCCTCCAATTCCTCACAGATTTCGAAGGACGACCTTGTCATTTGCGTGATGTGGAGAAGATACACGGATCCCTTTGTCATGTCGCTTTCGTCTACCTCGACGGCCGCTCTCACCTCCCTTCTCTCTCTAATTTCGCATCCGCATTCCACAGTGATGAATTTCTTACAAAGTACCCTCCGCACTCACTGATCACTGACCTCAAGTGGTGGCTCACCAAGCTCACCTTACCTGGAGTCTCTCGATCCCTTCATCCTGCTGGACCTTTATCAGATCTCGGACTATACGTTGACGCCTCTACATCGTGGGGTATCGGTATTATCATCGGCGACGAATGGGCTGCCTTCCAGCTCTCGCCTTCCTGGAAAATTGAGGGCCGAGATATCTGCTGGCTCGAAACGGTCGCTATCGAACTTCTGGTTCTATTTCTAGAATCAAGAGGGACTCGTGGCGCGCACTTGCTCGTGCATTCCGACAATCAAGGTACCATTGGCGCCCTTGATAAAGGCCGCAGTGGTAATATCCATCTGAATCTTGCCGTCCGCCGCACACACCTGGCTCTCATGGCCAGATCAATCATTATAAAACCTATCTACATTGAGTCTCATGCTAACCCAGCCGATCCTATCTCGCGCGGAGAACCAGGACCTGCTGGAAAGCAGATTTTCCCATCTTTTCAGCTCCCTGATGAGCTATGTTCATGCTTCCTTCATGCCTAGGTTAGCTTCCTCGTACTCTCTCGTCATTCTGACTCCTTCATCTCTTTCCAGGTTAGATTATCCTTTCAAACCGGCGACTCGTGTCGTCGAGACGAATGTGGGTGGTTCATCGTCTGTTCCTCCGCGCCCCACATGTCGCCAAAGCTTTCTCCATCCTTTCAAGACTCCCACTCCCGTTGCTACACCTCTTAACCCATCTCTTTCGGGTAATCCACCTTCTTCTCTTAACACATCTTCTCCAACATCAACTATTCCAATACAACAACTTGATTCTCAACAAAGGATCCTCGTCTCCTCATCTCGTACCATCAAGGCAAGAAAAGCTCAATCTGGACGCCAGATTACTCATAACGCTCTACGCCCTCACGTCCCAGCTGCCGATCGACTATTCGTTTGGGATACACCACATGCTGCTCGTCACAGACAGCATCTAATTGCCTCCCTTCCACCACAACTAGTTGAAAGCGCGATGATGTCCATCCGCGGTGCGTATGCACCAAACACCAAAAGCACATACGCCGCAGGTACACTGCGGTTTACTCAATTCTGTGATGCATGGGGCATTGACGAAGAAGCTCGAATGCCTGCTTCATATCCTCTCCTCTGCGCTTTCATTGGCGAACACAAAGGCAAGCAGTCTGGGAACACTATCCGCTCCTGGCTCTCCGGTATCCGTGCATGGCACACTGTCAATCATGCGCCTTGGTTCGGCGACGACGATTGGGTTCAGCTGGCTCGCATTTCAGCAAATAAAGAAGGCTCTAAACACAAACGTCCTCTTCGAGCTCCTGTTTCTATTGAACATTTACTAACCCTTCGCCGTTCCCTTACTCTCTCTACTCCTCTCCATGCCGCTGTATGGGCTCTCGCCCTATGCGCTTTCTTTGGCTGTCGCCGACTAGGCGAACTCACAGTGACCACTGCTGCCGCTTTTGACGAAACATATAATGTCCTTCGCTCCGTCATGTGCGCCATCTCCTCTTTTCTCTAATCTTTCTTATTTTTTTCTAGAATCACGTTTCGAAAGTTGCGTGACGGTTCCTCTTCTGCAAGTTTCCATATTCCCTGGACGAAAACCACAAAGGAACTCGGTGCCTCCGTTATTCTTACTGCGCGCAATGATATTCTCTGCCCTGTTGCAGCTCTGAAGAACCATCTCAACGTGAACTCGTCCTCTGATCAATCCACCCCTCTCTTCGCCTATAAAACTGCCTCTTCTCAATCCAAGATGCTCCTCAAGCATGAATTCCTCAATTTTTGCAACCATATCTGGTCATCGGCTATGCTTGCACATATCCTTGGTCATAGTTTTCGTATAGGAGGCACCGTTGAACTTCTCCTCGCCGGCATGCCACCAGAGATTGTCGCAGCCACAGGCGGCTGGACTTCTCTTGCTTTCCTGCTTTATTGGCGCCGTATGGAAGAAATTCTACCAATGAGCACCTCAAAGGCATATAACAAGTCCCACATTGATTCGTTGGCTGCCATATTCGAACTCTTTCGAATTAAAAACAAAATTCCGTCTGCACTTATTGTCGCGTCCGATGGAAATCTCTCTCTGTAACTTGCTCATTCTGTCTGACTTACATTATCTATTGTATTGAGGCTTCTCATCGTGAACCTCTTTCTGTAACCCATTGATATTATCTACTTTGTATTTATACTTGCAAAAAACTTCTCCAGAGTGCCGCTCGATTTGGGTAGTTCATCTTGCCTCTGAACCAACCTGCTCGTTGTGAGCTTACACTCTGGTTGGTATAGCTGGTTGGTTACTACACGCAATCGAGCTCTTCAGACGCTCAGGTCTTGCCCACCTCCTCGGATATTATTATTACTACATTACTAACTAAAAATCCGAATTGAGTGAGCTGGGCAAGTCCTAGGCAAAAACAAGTTATCCATGTCTGTGGATTTCTTGCATCTTAATATTCCTCTTCCTTTCCCTCATTTCATAGGACGCTAAAGTTATCTTATTCCGCGATGAGCGAGCACGAGGAACAAGTGACAAAGCTCATTATCGGATAAGATAACGTTAGAGCGTCAGAACGAAATCTCGCGTTTGTACTCATAAGTACAAACAATCATACATGTCTCCGAAGGTCTGAGAAGGAGAACTGCATTCTCCTTCCTGCCCAGTTTAATCGTTCTGACGCGTAAAAAGGTCTTCTTATTCATCAGCTAATTTTTTGACCCACCCACCATCCCTCTCAGCGTCTGTATAGCTGGTTGGTTACTACACGCAATCGAGCTCTTCAGACGCTCAGGTCTTGCCCACCTCCTCGGATATTATTATTACTACATTACTAACTAAAAATCCGAATTGAGTGAGCTGGGCAAGTCCTAGGCAAAAACAAGTTATCCATGTCTGTGGATTTCTTGCATCTTAATATTCCTCTTCCTTTCCCTCATTTCATAGGACGCTAAAGTTATCTTATTCACCTGTTCACTACCACCATCGGCCCAAACATTGTCTTCTTCGCCGCGAAGTGGATTTCAGTAAGGCGCTATTGCGCGTGTTCGCCGATCCAGGATTCAGAGGAGAGAGCACTTGTGTCTATGTTCTTTGTTTGCCTATAAGAGTCGCAATGTTTCGTGTTATTCATTCCATCCCAGTACGCTTTTCAACGGAAGTATCTCAATTAGTAGCGCTTACAGCTGAAAGCAGAACGATAGGCCACGGCAGATCGACACATGCTCAGGGCGGACTCCCAAAATTTCAAAGCGACGTGATGGCTGGGGCCGCTGAGTTCTCACAACGTGTTACAGCTGAAGGCAGAACGATAGGCCAAGCCAGATCGACACATGCACAGGGCGGACCCTTAAATTTTCAAAGCGATGTGATGGCTGAGGCCGCTGAGTTCTCAGGCGCTTTCCCTGTGACGACGTGACGCCGTCCCAGCTCGGCGTCACTGCTCAGCACCTTATGTCAGCCACTCTCTCTGGCCCTCGTCACAAGCGCTCTCTGTGTTTCCTCCTCCGGCCTCGCTCCGCCTCGTCACCACGCTTTGGCTGGTGGCTGCCCGTCGTCGTCACATCGGTTTGGCGTGGGCGCGGGCCACCTGGCTCGCTGTCCCCGCTCGGTCCTCCCGTTTCCTTTCAAACTCAAGCTCACATCGCTTCCACGTCGGTCCCTGTTTGCCTTACTACTACCCTCACGCCTCTTTTCTTTCGCATCCAAGCTGTACTCTCCACTTCCTTGCCTGTCCCTAGCTTCAACGCCTCTGCTTTACAATGTGACCCCTCGCTTCCTGCTCATTCCTCCACCCTAGTGACCACACACTCGCTTCTTGATGTTTGGTGGAAGGTCGGATTTTTGGTATTGGGAGTGTTTGGAAGGCATTGTGAGCTAAAAATTGAGAAGGGTTAGTAATTTACTAAACTGTATATGTAGCCATTCCATAAATAGCTGTATCAAAACCCCATACATGCTTTCAGAGACATGTTTGAACATAATAGTAAAAATTGCTGCCCCCATTATGTCTGAATTACTGTCGGAATCATGGTTGCCGCACTAAGTGGCCATTGCACAATTTGCATGGTGAGGGGGAAGACGTGGTAGCGGCTGGTCCTGTTTTCAACTTGCTCGAGTCCTTGCTTGTGAAATCAATGATTGTGTTCATAGGCAGCTCACCCCCTGCCTCCTCAAAGTCGAGTGTGTGCAGAGTTAAGGAACACTCACTGTCACTCAGACTGGGGCAGCTCGATTGGCATCCAGGGAGGCCATTTGACCGGCAACAATTGGAGACTCCCTGGGCTGAATAGTATCCGTCATTGTTGCATACGAATTTGCACCATGCCGTTTAACTGTCCTTTTTCTGCGGCTGTCCTGGTTTCCATACTTTGAAGCTGGTGGGTCAAAATCCCCTCATGAAATTTCCTCTTTGTTGACAAAACTGTGCACAGCCATGTCTTCGGTATTCTTGATTTCTTTCACTTCGTCCAAAACAGACTGACATTGCCAACTGGCAATCTGTAGCTCCGATTCGTGCATTAAACCAACCCCGTAACCCCCATAATTTTTTTTTTCATTGTTACCATTGAGTATCACCAGTACTTACTTACCTCGGATTTGCCTTGGATGACCACGCTACCAATCGGCTCCAGTGTACTGTGTCCACTATTCTCTCCTACTTCTCTCCGCCATATGTGCTAATAAAAATTTCAGACATGCACACCTCGTTCTCTTCAAGTTCTTGAACAAAGTGCGGTCTGGTGGGGCTCGAGCTGGTATACTTAACTTGAAGGGTTCAAAAACAGTGCATCTTTTTTTTGCCGACTTTGCATTGCCGCCTCACCAGGCTGCCCATTTTTTATATATAGTATCACCAGCAATGGAGATGGACCAAACCCGATGACAATGAATATATTCCAACGCCCCTCCCACGCCGAGCAAGAGCTTCTTAATGACCAAGGCGTCCGGGAAATGCAAGATGCGAAACTCCTGCAGAGATGTGTCCCAAATGCACTCCCAGTCATTGCACAGGAGAACATCAGCTTTGAAAAAATGTCTGAATGGAAACGACATAATGCGGAGGGTTGGAACATTTCTAGGATTTTCGTGATGACCTGGAGCACTCCTTAGTATCAAGAAATAATAAATAAAACAAGACCATATGTGTAGCGTATGGGTTCAAAAACACTCCTAAACGACTCGTCCGTAATCCAATCCCAAAGCAGGATATTAACTGCATACCCCCATCGGCTCCCCGTCCTTTACCCTCCTGCATCCCTGTCCCAGGAAAATACTCTCCAAATTTATGAAAGATACAGGTCCATTCGCATAAAATGCCTCTTCGACGCCATCTCCGTGATGGCAGTCGATGTAGAGGATGTGGGGGCAGGTATGTAGGAGCTCGAGGATGCCGAGGACAATGTCGTTGATGTAGCAGAACCCAAAGACTTCGTGTTTTTGGCGTGGTGGAGGCTGCCAGCCCAGTCTATGGCAATGTCCGCTTTGTCGGAAGTTGTGCGTCAGAAGGAGGTCTTTACACTCCCTGGGGTTTTCCATATGGAATCCATGTGGAATGGCTGGATTCCACCATCCCTTCCATGGATTCCATATGGAATATTTTTGGCTGAGTCCCCAGCTATTTTTTTATTCCATATTCACTATGGATTCCACATGGAATAGTGATGGAATGGTACATTCCACATGGATTCCATGGATCATTCCAGGTGGATTCCATTGGATTCCGTGGACCGTCCAGTGGGAGAATTCCCTCACATGAGATCATAAACATGTGAGATATACATGTGATCTCACGTGGGAGTACAAACGTGATGCCATTGTCACGACGTGTGACGTGGCTTCCTTTCTCCCAACCACCACCACCTAGTGTTGCTGTTGAAGCGAAGTGACTTCGAGGTGACTTCGATTCGGTTCGAAAATCACACCACTTCGTGTCACTTCGAGGTATCGAAGTGAGTCAAGGTGAATTTGTGATGGCCATCAATAATGGCTGGAAAAGGAAGATTGGCGCACGTGAAGCAGCACGTCGAGGCGCGTTTAGTGGTCTTTACAGTCGCGATTCGACGCTCTCCCTCATTCTCCTCCCTCCCTTCCCCAATACAATCTTAAATCACACCAGTTTTATGTGGCTGAATGTATAGTACCAGTTTCTTTCAATTTATGAGTGTCGTATGATAAAATTTGCTTAGGAAGGAGGGGTGAACATCGCGACTATAAAGTCTCAAAAGAAATTTGTTCTCTGCGACGCGACAAGATTTGCACAGAGAATATCGAGGCTTTGCGAGTGCTGAAGTTCTCATATGAGAAAACCGTCTCAGTTTCGTCGCTGATCTCGTAGCTGAATGACATGGACAACGCCAATATAAGATCCAGTAGCGCAACAGTAGCGGCACATGTGCCAGTACCCGACTCATGCTCAGCTTGTATTTCACTCCCCCGCCCCACCATTTTCAGCATGAAGGCAGACCTGCGGATGAGAGCCCTGCTCTTCATCCTCCTTCTCTCTTTTCTTTGTTTGCGAAGCGTGCAAGAAGGATTACACTATCTCAACGGAGGCTGCTTTTGACGGGGATTTATTTCAGAACTCGAAAGATATTGATACTAAAGTACCTGCGTGATACTAAGTAAATACTACATCATGTATTCAAGTACACGACAAGTTACTACAACGTTCAGCACCAAGAATGCGAACGATATTATTGGCTGATCAATTTACGGGGATCACCGAATTCGCTTCGATTCACTTCGAAAGACCGAAGTGGATCGAAGTGAACACATTTCCCCACTTCGATTCGCTTCGGTTCACCTCGCGGCAACACTACCACCACCAGCACACACAACGGCAAACAGCGACGACCACCCACAACGACGGCAAACGGCGACGACGCCCACAACAACCACCCACCACCATGAACAGACGACGATGGACAGCGCACAATGACCACCAAACGACACGAGCGCCCACACCACCATCCCATCACTCCCCACCAACGACAAGCGAGGCCCACCATGTCAACGGACGCCCATGCCCACGCCAACGACGACGCGCACGACGACGTCAACGGACACGCACGCCCACGCCAACAACGACGTGCACGACCACGTCGACGGACCACTGCCACGTCAACGGACGACGGCGACGACGCCACCAACAGACGACGACGAAGCCAACGGACGACGACGAAGCCAATGGACGACGACAACGCCAACGGACAAACGGACGACGACGAAGCCAACGGACGACGACAACGCCAACGGACGACAACGCCAACGGCCGATGACGACAACGCCGCCAACAGACGACGACGCCAACGCACGACATTGACGCCAACGGACGACGTCGACGATGCCAACGGACGGCCACGTCGACGACGACGAGCGCGTCCCGCTCCACCACGTACACACGGCGACGAGTGTTGTCCCTCCCCCTTTTCTTTCCCTCCCCCCTTCCTCCTTTCCTTTCCCTTCCCCTGTCCCTCCCCATTTCCATGTACCCCTTTCCTTTCTCCTCCCTCTTTCTCTGTCTGTCCCCCCTCATTTCCCTGTCCCCACACCCTTCCCCCTTCCTTTTCCCTGTCCCTACACCCTTCCCCCTTCCTTTTCCCTGTCCCTACACCCTTCCCCCTTCCTTTTCCCTGTCTCTACACCCTTCCCCCTACCTTTTCCCTCCCCCTTCCCTGCCCATCCCTTCCTTCCTCCACCCCCATTTATTTCTGCCCCTCTCCTACCCCCTTCCTTTAACTTAGAATACAGTAAAATAATCTTTGTGTACCACTTCAATATATTAGAATTTTAATCTATATAACTGTTCCAAGCAGAAAGTTGTGAGGTTATTATAGAACAAAATATAATAATCAATTGACTACATTAGACTTACAATAAATATGATAGGCATGAAGTCACATGACCTGAACTCTTCCATATGGAATCCAGATGGAACAGCCCATGGAATCCAGATGGAATAGCCCATGGAATCCAGATATTTCACATGGAATAGTCATGGAATGGTCCATAGGATTCCATCTTCATTCCATACCATTCCATACCATTCCATGGTAGAAATCCATTCCATCTACCATTCCATCTTCATTCCATGGTGGGAATCCATGGAATTTATCCATTCCATCCTCATTCCATACCAGTCCATGTGGAATATCCCAGGGAGTGTAAAGTATTGAACGTTGAAACTAATGGACTAGACGACTTGTAAAGGATAAGATAAAATACGATATCGACCATCGGGGGTTTGGGGGCTCTTAGGTTTTTCCAGGCGGAGTTTGTAATCAATTGACTGACTTCACCACGCAGACAGGTGTATATACTGGAATGGCGAAAGCTGAAACTCTGGTAACACATTACCTTGGGCAGGCAACCTACCAAAAACTATTTTAGCTTGATTTCACCAGCCCCCCACTCTTGCACTTTTTGGCTTTATCTTGCCATACTGTTGCCATCTTGTGTAATAGTTGGGCATCATACCCATCAAATGCATTACTTGTGTTTGATGGTAATTTGTTGGTAAATCCGTTACAAGCTGCTGCAAGGGTAGAAATCTATTTTAGCTAAATTTCACCATCCTCCCCTCTTGCACTTTATGGTTTTGTCTTGCCATACTGTTGCCATAGTTGGGCATCATACCCATCAAATGAAGTACTTGTGTTCAACGGTAATTTGTCATCAACAAGTTGTTGATTGGCATGGACGGTTGCTAATCAACATCACCTGGTGAGCCACCGTCATGAGGCTTTTTATAACTTTTTGAACAATATGATCACAGGGGCAGCGGTACTCAATGTTGCGTCGACTCGGACTCTCTCTGAGGGAGCCATGGCAGGCGAACACTGTTATTTCAAATCTCAAAGTTCAATTTTTTGACTCTGAACGAATAGTACATAGACTCTTTTTAAGATCCCGGCAGGGAGGATTGGGAGAAGGTTATAAACTGTGTTAACTTGCCATCAGGAATAGTACATGTCATTTAATTCTAGAAACTCTTCGTCATCGTCCTGAGACTGGTCGTCATAAGGGGCTCCATCCTTGTCGGAGCCAGATTCTGAACTAGCATCCAAGTTAGGATCTTCGCGATCATCCATGCCAAGTTCTGATTCATCCAAATCTGAACCATCGTGACTACCTTCATATCCTCCGTAACCACCCATTTCATTCCAGTTTTCTCCATTGTTTTGATTTGGAGCCACTTGTGCTGAATTTGTGATCGGTTCGGAGGGGGTCTGAGCTGCAGATATATGGCCATGCGCATACATATGCCCAATTCCAATGCCCCAGTGATATCGCATGATCATGTCGCAGTCGGCGAACCTGCCAGAACGATTAGATGATGCCATATCTAGAAAGCAGGTGTTGTTCGCTGACCTATTGACATAGTAATCTTTCCATTCCTGACCATCTTTTGCTATCTTGGAAAGGCCACGTCCATCCAGATGACGTTTGCCCTCAGAGAACACTGGGCTTAGATAGCAACTTCGAAGAACGTGCTCAGGGTTTATAAAGCCAAACACATCTATTTCAGCCACCAGAGGAAATGACACCCGATCCAGGCGAGAGGCTTCCCATCCAGCAGCTGCCACGTTGGTGCAAACCTGGAACCATCGAACCCAAAGGAAATCAAACCTCATCGCTTCATAATTGAGCATACCAGGTCCAGAATAGACGACATTGACATGGTATATTCCCAATACTTGTGCATATAGAAATGGATGTGTCAGGAAATCATTCCTGGCTAGCAGATCAGAAAGTAACATGACGTCACGGTGGGATGTCCCTGGGTTGATGACATCTTCGGATCGTCGCACATCGTAGGTGGTGTTATAAAACCGGGCAAGTTTGTGAAGGTACATGCGGTTATCTTTGATGATGATGGAGTTCAAAGCCAGCTGCTTTGTATGCTCATAGAGGCCAATGTTTGGGGGCTTTGAGGCACTTGTTTCGCCTTGAAGATTCCGCAACTCTTCTAATCTTTCTTGGACTCTAGGTAGGAGGTGGGTGTTCAATTTTGTCATGAAACCCTGTGCAGGTTGTGTGATCAGTAAGAAGCATACAAATTTAGAGCCAGGGTTACCTGAACAGCAGGGTCAAAGCGATTTTCTGAGAGGAATAAGCCAATGTTCACTGGATTGTTTTGGGTCCTTCCGATGTGGTTTCGACAGCTCGAAGACCCAGGGAAACTGTCAGCTGCATCACTTCTTGGGCCGCTCACCTCCCTGGCGTTTAATTTCTGCCGAATGCGGCGGAGTTGAGCTTGCCTCCGCTCAATCTCAGTCAGTTGCTTGATGAATTTCTTGCGACTCGTGCGCTTGTACCGAGATTTTGGGTTTCGAAGCTCAAGCTCCGACTGCACCATGCCAGGCCTTAGCAAGACATGGTCCAAAATGACAATGGTCAACTTACTGGCTCAGTTGAATAAGAATCTGTCGTTCCGTATCTCTGAATCGTTTCAACATAATCCCCGAGCGCATGCGCTTTGTATGTGTTCAGATTGAGGGTTTTCTTGCGCCTCCCAGGGGGTAGTTTTGCCTGTGTTGCTTTTCGACTGGTCGTGCTGCCATCCGCACTATCAGTCAAAGAGAGGGCACCCTGCATTGTATGTGGTTCTACGGTCGCAGTGTTTATATCGGTGTCATTACTGGTTGCCGCTCCAGCCAGTGCAGATTTGTTCACAGGCACTGAAGCCTTCTTGGCTTGTTGACGCTGCCTTGCTGCAGCTTCCCGCTTTAGTTCTTTGGTATCAAAGGCCAGACACAGCTTTTCTTGGAAATCATGGAGAGCTTGCCCGAGCGCAGAAGTGGTGGATTCTAAAATTCCCAAGGTAAGGTCTGTGTGCTGGCGGAGTTTAGCAAGGCCATGCCAATGTGTGAAAATGAACAGAAGGTCCAAAAGGAGGGAATTGTGTGGCTCTGGAAGAAGACCATCAAAAACTGGGATGGAGCACTACAAACACTATGTGAATATTTCGAAATGTTTCCTGTTCATCCGGTGGCTTACTTGTACTATTGGCTTGAGTGACTTTAGGGGAGCCTTACAAGGATCACGTGGAAAGATGTCAGGCTGCCCTAAAGTAGCCGTTGTCAAAACCAGCAAGGCATTGGGTTGTTGCCTTTTTTCCTCCCACAACCACTCACTCGCCATGACAATGGGGAATCAATATCTTTGTAGTCCATATGTAGTTTCAGAACGAATATACAATAGATGAATGAAAGCCCGGTCAATTGTAATCGGCGAGCCTAAGGTCGTACAGGGAGTGAGCAATTGTTCCCTGGCTGGTCGACGTCAATGTTGTCTCCAGGGCGTGCCGTTAGCGTACGGTTGGAACCCAAGGAAAAACCCGTCAGTGATGCTTTTCTGGTTGAACTAGATAATGAGATGAGTCGTATCATGGTCATTAGCATCTTGTTGGTTGATGTCCTCTCACCGATTACACGTAGGTAGCCATCTTTGAAGAGCAAGTCAATGTCGTCAGCTTCGAGCATGTTCACCTTGTACTCGAGAAACGGCCGCAGCTTCTGTGGATCCAAAACCTATAAAGGCGTTTAGCAAGGTAAAGACTTCGGCTTATCATTCTTACGACGACTTTTCCGTTCATGCGAAGCTTTTGAAGGACTGTGAAAAGGTCGAGGTCTCCGTTGTCATTGCACTCGACATCAATCTCTTGTCTGTGACACCAGTCTTTTGGCCCTTCAAAGTGTCGTACGCGGAGTATGCGACGGGGAACTTCAGGAACACTTCGTGCAGCTTCGTCTTTGTCCACCAGGAGAGGTTCTAAAGGCAAGCTCCGCATATCGACCGCCACCGTCTCAATACCCATCTCAATATTGGCTTGACTATCTTCATGCATACCCAACACCTGAAATCGGAGTAAGTTTATTTCAGTGCATCTGGCAGCGTTATCTCACAAAATTTATCAGAGCATTCTCGTAGTCGGTTTTGGTAGGCTCTGCGCGGTTTCTTTTGGCAGTGGAGGGGACAGATAGTTGGAACTTTTGACATAAAGACTTCAGGATATCCCTGCGAAACTTTTTGAGAGCGGTTGGTGCGATAATATCTCGTTGTAAGATACGTTTGGCGTGTTCAATCGTTAGGTCTGCCATTACGGGTCAATGAGGGCATTGTGGTCCACTGACTCTTTAAAGGCTCAATTTCCATAGCAACAGTGACCATGTCCCAACTGTTGTAGTGTTTCTTGTTCTTGTATAACGATGGGAGAACAATGACAACCTATGGACTTGATAAGCTGCAACTTTTTCGCTCGAACTGCTCTAATGCCTCCCCATTGCATCCAAGATTACCACTCGCGTCCAACCACAAGGTCCATATTTTCCCCTGAGCGCTTGCTCACCCCTCCACCAAGTACTCTAAGATCTGCATTCACTTTCATTGACCATTATGATGTCACGGATCCGGACGAGCCCGAAACAGCCGAGTCATCAAGTAGCAAATCATACCGCCCAATTCTGATGTTAAAACCGCGAGGGGAAGTGTCCCGGGCTTACAACCTTCAGGTTGAAATGAAAGTCGACGACAAACAATTCACAGATGTACAAGTAAGTTCTAACTTTTATTGATGCCTAAAGCCTCGCTGATCCTTACTTAGGGTCTAATCTCGCGATTGGTTCCTGACCACCTAGAGACCAGCCTTTCCTTTAGGCAACAATCCAGTGCCGATTTAGATACCATTTATGAAAAGGTGATTTAGCTCAAGTTGAGTCAATGTGACTAACAAAGCTGCAGGCACTTGAAGACTGGTGGCTACCACTTTTATCATATAAAACAGGTAACTGCCTATAGGTCCCTGTGTATCCATCCACACTCTTTATGATAGGGAATCATTACTGTTACCATGTTTTTTCATTATCATAAAGGCTGCGCTTTTTCATTAAGTGTAGGCAAGGTTTTGGGCCTCCCTCATAAGGTAGCCTGTGGTTATCATTACCAATTTCATATCTTTTCAAAGCCATATCATTGTGATTTTCATTAGTTGTCTGGCGAGTATCATTGGATATTTCATTAGCTACATGGGTGATATCATTTTGCGATTTTCAATGGTTACTTTGGCAATATCATTGGAAATTTCATATGCTACTTGGGCAATATCATTGCGATTTTCATAAATTATGTGGCCAGTATCATTGGAAATTTCATTAGCTGGTTGTGCAATATCATTGGCAATTTCATTAGCTACTTGGGTGACATCATTGCGATTTTCATTAGCTACTTGGGCAATATGATTGTGATTTTCATTAGCTCCTTTGGCAATATCATTGGAAATTTCATTAGCTACTTGGGCAATATCATTGCGATTTTCATTAGCTCCTTTGGCAATATCATTGCGATTTTCATTAGTTACTTGGGCAATATCATTGGCAATTTCATTAGCTACTTGGGCGTCATCATTGCAATTTTCATTAGCTACTTGGGCAATATCATTGTGATTTTCATTAGCTACTTGGGCAATATCATTGCGATTTTCATTAGCTCCTTTGGCAATATCATTGGAAATTTTATTAGTTACTTGGGCAATATCATTGTGATTTTCATTAGCTACTTTGGCAATATCATTGGCAATTTCATTAGCTACTTGGGCGACATCATTGCGATTTTCATTAGCTACTTGGGCAATATCATTGCGATTTTCATTAGCTCCTTTGGCAATATCATTGGAAATTATATTAGTTACTTGGGCAATATCATTGTGATTTTCATTAGCTACTTGGGCAATATCATTGGCAATTTCATTAGCTACTTGGGCGACATCATTGCGATTTTCATTTGCTACTTGGGCAATATCATTGTGATTTTCATTGGCTCCTTTGGCAATATCATGGGAAATTATATTGGCTACTTGGGCAACATCATTGTGATTTTCATTAGCTACTTGGGCAATATTATTGGCAATTTTTAGTAATCGGGAGAGTGGTCACATGACCAAACTCCAAAAGGGGTCAAAAAACCAAAGTTGTAGCCCTGCACTGGTAGCTTGCCAAATCTGTTTGAATTATGTTCTGAAGTGCTCCTGTTGTGGAGATCATGCGATGGTAAATGAATGTCAAAAGTGTCGCGTTTTTTTTTTTGTTTTTTGTGTTTTTCTCCATGAAAACAAAACCAAATAACGTAATTTCAGTATATTCAGAAAGCTAAAAGAAAGGGCTACAATTATTGTATCATGGGAAAAATGACCAAAAAAGGAAGGTGCATGCTCTACTATAAGAGTCAGATATAGATTTACTGATAGACTACAAAAAAGTCGGACTTAGACTACACAGTTTACTGATACCCTATAATAGACTACAAAAGTCAGACTTAGACTATAAAGTTGCTA